CCGCGCGCCCCCGCACTGGGCTCTCCGCCCCGGAGCCCCCCAGCCCGACGGCTGCAGGCCCCAGCCTGTGCCATGCCTCACGCACGCCGCAGGCGGGGCCGGGGGCTCACACCTCACCCGAAACCACATCCTTCCTCCGCGGGACCTATAAACCAGCCCCCACCCCACAGGACCCTCGGTCTCCCGCCACCGGGGCGCAGGTCCCAAGGCCTGGGGACCTGCCCTTGTCCCCTCTTCGCTAGGAATCTGCTGGGAGTGGGTGGGCACCAGATGGGCAAGTCCCAAAGGCCATGCGGAGGGAGGCGGGGAGTCTGCTGCTGAGATGGGTGGGGTAGGGGGTGGTCTGCACCCCTTCATCCTGTAGAGGAGAGTCCCAGGGGAGGGCTGGGTGGGAGGGCCCTGAAGAAAGAAGAAGGGCAGGCCAAAAGAGGGGCTCCGAGGGGTGAGAGGTGCCTCATTCACCTTGGGAATGCAGAGCCGGGGGGCCTAGGCAGGGGACGCTGGGGAAGGCCTGGGGAAGCAGGCATGACACTGCCCTTTTCTCCCCCCATGGTCGCTGCCGCCTGACTTCAAACTAGCTCTGCCCCTTGTTGGGTCAACGACAAAGGCAATGCCAGTTGGGAAAAGAGCTCAGAGACAAGGGCTGGGCAAAGGGCAGGAGGGTGGTGGTGGTGGTGGTGGGTGGGTGCGTGCGTGTGTGAGTGTGTGTGTGTGTGTTTAAGGGGGACAAGGGGAGCAGGCAGGGGCCACCCAGAGGGCTACACAGGTTTGCAGCAGCTTCACCTCCTCAGGGGTAGCTCTGGAGAGCTCTTGTCCTTGCTAAGGATTCACGCCAGGCTCATGGCAAGGCACTCCCCAGGATCTGGAGGGCGAGTCCGAAGGGACTAAAGATGGTAGTGGGCTTGAACTTTGCATGGCAGGGGGAGAGAGCATGTAGGGGAGAGAGGATGCTGCTCTGGAAGGACCCAGCAGCTGAACACGCGCCCACCCCACCCATCCTCAGCAGGCTGGCCCTTGGCATAGCAGGATCTGGAGGGGGACAGACACACAGGAGACTGCCTGTCCGGCCTCGGGGGAAGAGGGAGACATGTAGGAGAGGTTAGTACCTCTGGTACCCGGTGCACCGGGAGACCAGGGAAAGAGGTCTTTGAAATACACGGGTGGGCTCTGGAGGTGAGCACCTCACCATAACTGGAGCACCCGTCCTCCCAGCAGAAGCAGGGGGACCTGCGCAGTCACCAGAGGTGTCATTTCACAGCTGTCTGGGGGAGGTGAGTGAGCAGGGAGCGGGAGCGTGCAGGGTGTGGAGACTCAGCCGGATCTAAGATAACACATTCTGGTGCCCTCCCCCCTCCTGGCAGCAGCCACCTCCCTGGCCCTTGTGCACACGACACAGGCGGTCTGAGGTAGCTTAGCCCACGAGGAAAAGAAGAAAAGAGTCATTTCCATGGGGGTCTCAGATCATTCCATGGCGTGCTGGGGCTGCTTGCTTTTGGGCCCAGCAGCCGCTCTCCTTTCTAGCTAGCCAAAGATCAAAAATGCCAAATTCCCGGCTTTTAAGTCCAAATGGCTCAGTGTCAGGCTAGGGCTCAGGAAGATTGGAAGGCCTGGTGCAAACAGATGTAACCTGCCCCCCTCGCCCCTCCTCCTTAACCCTGGGCTCCAGCGGAGAGGCCAAGCTCACAAGCAGACAGGACTCTAAATGCTGATTAGGAGTGACTCTCATTTCCCTAGGCTGAGCCCAGGGCATGTGGGAGGAACAGAGCTCCAGATAAATTTGGGGAGCCATGGCCAGGCCATGAGCTCCTCCTTTCTTTTGTTGTTTCCAGACCGCCCCCTGCCCGAGAATCCTGCCACAGAGTGAAAAGGGGGACAGGGCAGGTGGCCGATGTGACCCATGGAGAGGAGGTGACCCAGGAGACACACCCACTGAGCAGCCCCTCCCGGCACACCCCACCTAGGGAATGCCCCAAATTGAGATCCCTGGTGGAGGCCAGCACAAGGCAAGGTGAGATGATTCCGTTGTTTACCTGGAATAGGAGGATGTTTCCTGCAAGCAAAGAGAATAAAGGCTCCAAAGTGCGCTAAATTGAACTCCAGAAAAAGGAAGTCAAGTGTTTGCAAAAGTGAGATAGGAGTGTGTCCACATTAACCTGCTTCGTGGTTGTGAGAGCACGTGCGCACACACACACACACACACACACACACACACACACACACTCCAGGTTCATGCCAAGGCGTGGGAGGGACCCAAGGTTGCACCTTCAACAAGCACCTGTGATTTCTGATGTAGCCACAGGAAACGACACTCTAAAACGGTTTTCTCATGATTTTTTCCCCCTCTCCTACAAACACAAACTGCCTTTCAAGTTGGGATGGAAGGCTGGGTCACTCCCACCCTGACTCATGATCTTGCCCCACCCACATGAGTCAAACCCGACTGAACTAGTAATTTCAGTCAGGGACCTCATGTGGCAACCAGCCTGTAATTAGGAGCAGAGGCAGCCGTCCTTGGGAATGCTAGCTCCACCACCATCACAGGCTTTCAAAGCCAGTACTCTCTGGCTGAGCCTTGAAGGCCAGAGGCTGCTGAGGTGGCCTGCCAAGCCCTGGTTCCCTGGAAGGAAGAAGAGCTACCCACTGAGGACCTACTATGTGCCAGACCCTTTAGATGGGCTGCAAGATGTGCTCCTTTTTGATTAGCGACACGAATGCTGTGACCGCATTCTGCGTGTGAAATATTAAGACATTAAACATAAAGCTGAAATCCCCCAGTCAGCCCCAAACCCACTCGGACCCCACGTGTTACACAGTAGACCTTCTCCATATTTTGTTGGTTTGTTGTTTTTCAACTGGAATCTTTATGACCCCCCTATTGGCATAGCAGTTACAGATTGAGCTGCTAACTGCAAAGTCAGCAGTTCAAAACTTCCAGATGCTCTGAGGGAGAAAGATGAGGCTTTTTACTCCCATACAGACTCAGAAGCCCACAGGGGCAGTTCTACCCTGCCCTGTAGGTTCACTATGAGTCAGAATTGACTCAGTGGCAAAGAGCTTGGGGCTTTAAAAAAAATATTTTCAGGCTTTATCTTCCAATGCTGCCTGTACTGTCCACCCATCCCACAGCTGTGGTCAGTGGAATTTGATTCCTTACATTTTTATCATGCTGCTGTTAGCTGCTATACTTGGTTGGCATAGTGGGTTATGTGTTGGGCTGTTAACTGCAAGGTCAGCAGTTTGAAACCACCTACTGCTCTGTGGGAGAAAAACGAGGTTCTCTATCCTTGTAAATATTCACAGACTCAATACTTACCTGGCAGGGGAGATACCATGATCCCGAAGGTGGTTTTCCCAGGGCGAGGCTTGTCCATTGCACTCCGGATGTGCTGACCCCTGCGATTTCCCCAAATGTGGGAAACTCAACCGCATAACTTGTGTTGTGGGGGACTGCGTTCTCGCTCTCCCCTGGGAAAAAAAGAAAGATGCACAGGCTCAGAAACCAAAGGGCCATCCCTACAGCATGGACTCCATGGCAGTGAGTTTGGTTAGTGACTGTCAAGTGGATTTCAACTCGTGACCACCCGTGTGTGCAGGGCTGTGACCTTTCAGAAGGCAATCACTAGGCCTGTCTGATGTGTGTCTGAGGCAACCTTTTGGCTTGGAGCGGTCAGTGTTGAACCCCTAACTGGCATTTGCTGACTCATAGCAACCCTCAATTAGAACTGCCCCATGCGTTTCTGAGATTCTAACCTTTTTTCTTTATCTTTTTTAAAGTCATTTAATTGGGGGTTCTTACAGTGCTTATAACATTCCATACATCAACTGTAGCAAGCATATGTGTACATATGTGGCCATCATCATTTCCAAAACATTTTCTACTTGAGCCCTCGGTATCGGCTCCTCTTTTTCCCCTCCCTCCCCACCCTTGCACCCCCTTGAATCCTTGATCACTTCTATACTGTAATTACTATTTCGTCTCTTACACTGTCCATTGTCTCCCTTCACCCACATTTCTGTTAGTCATCCCCTTTGGGGTGGGGGCTGTCTACCCAATGTTGTGATGGGTTCCCCCTTTTTCACCCTTCCCCCTCCCTGACCATCTCCCACCGTCATGATATTGATAGGCCCATGACTGTTCCTGAGGGGTTTATCTTTCCTGAATTCCATGTGTCTAAAGCTCTTATCTGTACCAATCTGTGTTCTCCGGTCTA